GTCAAAATATGAGATTTTCCCCAAGAAGCATAGACGCGTATTGTATTGACTAGTGACATATATAAAACAGCTAACATCTATGTATACATATATTTATGAACATTTATTTGGTATTAGGTCTGTAGCAAATGCTTTAACCACATGTTAAGCCCCATTTTGAGGCGCTCGCCTCTGGCTGCTGATTAAGCTGTGAGCGCGATGCTCTGCTTGTTTTCAAGTTCTTAACACCGGTTCTCACAAGAGTCGCGTGTGCATTCGTTCTTGCTGTGTTAACTCTCAGCTAATCACGATCGCGGCTATAAAAGCTCTTACACAACTGCCAGCCACTCACAGTTTCATTTCAAGCGTCTAGTTGAACGGTTATTATACAAAACATATATACATACAAATATTCCATTTTTAAATGTTTATAATTTCATAAAGCATCTGTTATTAATTTAATAATTATGAAATTGTTTGTGTTGTTGCTGTGCATTTTATCTGCGGATTACACAAGAGCGCGTTGTAAGTGACAAATGAAAAACCACAAATTCTTCGGGATTTCCTTAATACGTACCTAATACTAAGAGAATGCGTTGTTTACCGAAAAAAAAACTCGAACCATATACACGAGCTTTGGGGAAAAGTGCATAATTAAATACTAATTATAGCCGGTTTTCAGCCAGTCGCTAAAGACTGTTAAGCACCAGCGCGTGCCAAGTTCAATGCAACCTTAAAACAACAATTTTTGTACTGAAATTTACGTGATGAAACGTTTCGTTTTGATGTAAATATAACTTAAATCAACTGCTTACAATAAAAAAAAAAAAAAAAGAATAAGATAATATGAAGACAATGTTATAAATGAGTGAGAATTGCTCAATTATTTCGGTGTATCTAGGTTATACACAGGTCCGATTTAATATTGTTCAGCAAGCAATTGTTGAACACTCAGTTCAATTTTCATAAACAATAAAGCCTATTTATAGGTAAAGAAATGTCTTGAGAAAAGTCAAAATATATTTTGAGAATGCATATTTTTTATATTTTATAAAATTTAATTTGTAAATTAAATTTGGAATAAAACTATGGTTTTTATTGAATTTTAAATATATATTATTTTAAATATTTATAAGCTTCAAGTGTTTACTGATTTTTTTAAAGCATATACATATATATAAAAAAAACTTGTAAAATAAATTTTAAAATTTAAATACAAAATTTTTTTTAGTTAGAGTAGATTTTCTAAAGCTAATGTCTCAAAATATGTTTAGTATACAATGTTTCATATATAACTTTAAAGTCAAAGAACATTCATTTCAATGAAAACCCAAAATATCTACCGATTTGGCCTATTTCGACTTCTTCAGATAACTTTCCATTCAGTTTTAATACACAAATATAAATAACATAAACATCAATGACTCGGCTATTTTAGGCGAGTTGGTGAACCACAGAAATGTCGCTGTCAATTCTCATGTTTAGGCCGTGTTCTTCCCCACATAAACCAGATCTCTGATTGTCTCTCTCTCTTTCTCTCTGTCTCTCTCTTTACCTCTTGCAGACGCGCGTTGCATCAATCCCAATCAACGTGCCGGCCTTTGTGTGCAGATAAATGAGTGCCAGACTCTGTATTCGGTGCTGCAGCAGTCGCCTCTGTCGACCACGGAGAAGCAGTTCATCAAAGAGTCAAGCTGTGGAATGGGCCAAGATAATCTACCATTTGTCTGCTGCACTCGAGATACGGGCTACACGCGCACTTACCGTGTGACGCCCAACTTTGCCGACTATCCGGACTTCAGTGATCTCAGCGAGGGCTACGATTTCAGTTGGAATCGTGCGCCCAATACGCCAGCGCCAACCACACTGCTCTTTCCCAGCGATCGGCGACCCTGGAGCTTTGGCGAGGAGCCAAGCGCCGACAGCAGTCTGTCGCAGAGTCCGGGTCAAGGTCGACGCCAGCCACAGCAGGTGGATGGCTCGGCTCTGCTGCCACAGCCACCCGCCTGCGGTGGTGTTACCATTGAGAACAAGATCTATGGCGGCGAGGATGCCGATCTCAACGAGTTCCCCTGGATGGTCCTGCTCGAGTACAGACGGCTTGCCGGCAACGGACTCTCTACTAGCTGTGCGGGCACCTTGATTAATCAGCGCTATGTGCTCACCGCTGCCCACTGTCTAGTCGGACGGATCGTGCGACAAATTGGACCACTGTGAGTAAAATTTTGAATTTACTTACGAGCAGGTTTCATAAATTCATTCAACTTTCCGTTAGCCGTGACGAAAATTCGCACTGCTTAATCATACGTAAAAAAATTTCACGCATTGCTGTCAATCGAACTGCGATTTCCAAGCCGTTTTGGGGGACTCCATCTAACCGCTTGTATATCTCTGTTTTTTCTGGGTGTGTGACGCTCTGATTGTTATTGTCGAAATATTTAAGAATATTAATTAAGTTGGCCAAACCAGATTCAAAGCGTTTAGCGACTTCTGCGGCTGCTGCTGCTGCCTTATTAACGTGATTCATTTAAGTCTTGCTCTGGGCTGGGTTAAGTTGGGTGTTTTTTTTTCGTCGTTGGGGCAGGGGAAAAGGGTGGAGTTTGGGTTGGGAGGGGGTGCAGGTGTCATGGAACGGCGGTTCAAAGTGGATAACAATTCGTTGCGCTCTTAATTTACTCGACCGGCTGCTTTTGCTTTTGCTTTAGCTTTTGTTTCGCTTTACGTTGGGTGTTTGGCGGCTGACCCGTTCGCACTTTTTAAATTCAATTAGCAATATATATCTGATTTCCTGCTAAACAAGCGCGCCCCATGCTTTAACTTAATGTTATAAATTTGTATTACTTAATTTGTTATATTTTAGTGCCTCGGCGCGTCTGGGCGAGCACGATACGCGCTCTGCAGTGGATTGTCCGAGAGGCGGCGGCGCCTGTGCGCCGGCTGCCCAGCGCTTGGGCATTGAGGAGGCGATCGTCCATGAGCTGTACAAGGAGAGGTCGCCGAATCAGCTGCACGACATTGGACTGGTGCGGCTGGACCGAAATGTTCACTACTCGAGCAGCATACAGCCAGCCTGCTTGCCTTCGGTGGTGGCGCCGGAAACGAAGCGGGCGGGACAACAGTATACGGTCGTTGGCTACGGCCGGACACTGCAAACAGCACGCAGTCCCATCAAGCAGAAGCTAACCGTTAACTTTGTGGAGCCGGCGCAGTGTAAGCGTAAATTTTCGGAGCGCAAGATCAGCATCATGCCCACACAGATGTGTGCGGGCGGGAAATATGCGCAGGATAGCTGTGATGGTGACTCCGGCGGACCACTGTTGCGGTTCCGGGACAATACCTGGGTGCTAGAGGGCATTGTCTCGTTTGGCTACAAGTGCGGCTTGAAGGACTGGCCGGGCGTCTATACCAGCGTTGCGGCCTACGACATCTGGATAAAGCAGAATGTGAGAGCCTAACGAGAGCAGCGCTCGCCCTAAAACTAAAGCTCGAAATGTGATCTTGCCTACATACTCGTTTATACATACATACATATATCTATATCAATAGCATATTTAATTTTAGTCATAAGTGTTTTAGCCAAAATAAAAGAATCTAGCTTAGAGACTATGTGCAAAGTGAATGAACCTGAGCTTTGAAAAACCTTTGGATTTTCCAGCACGTCCGTCAATACAATCGCCTGCCATTGACATTGCCGCCATACATTAATTGACCACGGCATATAAACATAAACCGCAACAAAAGCTTCCGGTAACAATTGGCGAAGACAACAACAACAACAACAAAAGCAATGGCAGCCGTAGCAACAGCTGTAGAAGCCGTGCCAGCTGTTCTTGGACTTTGACCAAAGCTCTTTGTGGTTATGGCTCGCACTCTTAACTTGGATGAATATTATTAGGGAGAAGACACTTCTAGATTGCATTTGCTTAAAATATACGTGAACAATATTTTATAAATCAATCGATTTTTATTTGATCTGGCCTTTCAGACATAGTTTTATGGAGCATATCGAATTACATTACGATATATATCTGATATATAGAGATACAATTTTGGTCTATAAACACTATTTATATATAAAATATTTACCACCAGAAGTAACCTAATGAACCTGATGTTGAAACTGAATGGATTATTAGTTATCATATATAAAATTTTTTTTTTAATGAATTTATTAGGCAAATCAACGTGAAATGCATATAAACAGAACTTTGAATTAGAAAATCATATAGAGAACCTTGGCACTTACTCATTTGAAGCACCCATTCGTTATGTCTCAATGGCAGCAGGGACATTTCAATTATCAATCTAATACACATTTAGTTATTGTAGATTCCGGGTAATTTTGGTTTTGGAGTTTCCAATGTGATTAGTATTCTTCTTAAAACAATTATAATTAAGGGCTCATATCCTATATGATTCATTAACTATGACAACTTGAATTGAATTGCGTGATATAATGTTCATATCTGCATATATGTATATAAGTCCGCTTCTTACTTACAATTAGTCATATCGATCGATCTTGCATCCGTTCTCTGCTCCTATTGATCTAATTCCATATTCATATATATTCAATTGTAAAAGCTCTATCTCTCTGCCTCTCTCACTCTTCCCTAAAAGCTTTTGCTAGCAGCTTTTTAAGCTTCCCCTAAAAGTAGGCAATGCCTATTCGCACAGCTCGAACGCCGAATGAAAGTGAAACCAGAAAACACAGCTGACGGCTGATTGCATAACCGGACTCGCGTACCAGTTGCCAGCGTGCGGCCAGCAATAACAACAACAACAGTAGCAGCAGCAGCAGCCGCAGCCACGATGAGAACAACAACAACAACATCGCTGACCGTTGCTCCCGTTTCGTTAACGGCGATTGCAGTTTTTGGGCTCGTTTTGGTGTCACAAGCTGGCGAGGGCTGTGTTCGTTCATTTATTTATTTATTTACTTTTGCTTTTTGTTTTCATTTTATTTATTTTTGCTTTTTTTTTTTGGCACTCTTAGCTTCGGCTCTTCCGAGTCGCTGTTGTAGTTTCGGTATCGGTTTTAGTTTCGGTTTCGGTTGACGCTGTCGCCGCTGCGCGCAGCATTCAAATTGGATTTTAATATACGGCCGAGCGTTCACGCGAGCGGATTCACTTTTCGTTTGCGTTTTCATAAGCCGCTCAGCCATCCACAGTCCACAATCAACAGTCAACAATCAACAATCAACAGTCAACAATTCGATATTCGCGACATTTGCTTTTGGCCATTGCACGCGTTCGCGATTGCGTATACGTCGCGTTGTCCCCCGCCTGACCGCCTCTCCGTTTGTCGACGTTGGCGTCGCTCTCGTTAAAGCATCGCATTGTTTGGACCTGGACTCGGCCAATCGCTGATGTACCCTCACCCAAACAGCGGCGCATTGTGGGTGGCCGGCACATTGCTCGCCCTTGCCCTGCGCATCACAGCCGGCAGCGCTGAGCTTCAGCCGCAGCCGTCTCGGTCGGCGCAGCTGGCTTGCGATATACCCAACGAAACAAAGCGTGGCATTTGTGTACAGGTGAGCCAGTGCGCCGCCTATTTACAGGTGCGCAATGTGACGAATTTGAGCTCGGAGCGCGTCAACTTTCTGAAGAAGGTGCAATGCGAAATGGAGACAACTGTAAATGCAACTGCAATGACAACAGCAAATGCAACGGAAACGGCAAATGTAACAGCAACTGCTGCTGACCTTACGCTGGAGGATGCTTCGTATAATCCTCTCGTATGCTGCCCAGCCAATGGACAGGACTATCTCTATCCGGTTATACAATTCACCAAGTTTGAGTATCGTCGCTTTCTGGATGTCACCGCGCGCTTCAAGCGGAAGAAGCTGAAGAGACGCATTCAAACCGTGGAGCCCAGCACGGGCTTCAATCTGCTCAACGAGTGTGGCAAGCAGGTCACGAATCGCATCTATGGCGGGGAAATTGCTGAACTAGACGAATACCCATGGCTGGCATTGCTCGTCTATCATTCAAGTAAGTTGCGGCTCAGAGCAAATAGTAATTTCAAATGAACTAATATCCTCTTCTCTACATTGTCCTTAGATGACTATGGTTGCAGTGGAGCTCTGATTGACGATCGACATGTTTTGACAGCTGCCCATTGTGTTCAGGGCGAGGGTGTGCGGGAACGTCGCGGCTTGTAAGTTTGTTAAATGAGCATTACTTAAGGGTATATTAACATCATCAGCGACATTACAGGAAACATGTGCGTTTGGGGGAGTTTAATGTCAAGACGGAGCCTGATTGCATTGAGGAGCCCAATTACTTGAGCTGCGCGGATGCGGCACTGGATATTGCATATGAGCATATCCATGTGCATCCGGAGTACAAGGAGTACTCGAGTCACAAGTACAATGACATTGCCATAATCCGGCTGAAGCATCCGGTTAGCTTCACGCACTTCATCATGCCCATCTGCCTGCCCGACAAGACAGTTCAGACACCGCTGACCGAAGGGCAAATGTTCTCCGTCTCCGGCTGGGGACGCACCGATCTCTGTAAGTGTTCGCCTAGCTGTAGCAGCCAGCTGTACTGCCGTTCTAATTCTGATCAATCTCTTATAGTCAACAAGTACTTCATAAATACGCACAGCCCAATCAAACTGAAGCTGCGTATACCCTATGTGTCCAGCGAAAACTGCAGCAAGATGCTGGATCTCTATGGTGTGCGACTGGGTCCTAAGCAACTCTGCGCCGGCGGCGAGAAGGCCAAAGACACCTGTGCCGGTGACAGCGGAGGTCCGCTCATGTTCTTCGATCGTCAACACTCCCGGTGGGTGGCTTACGGCATTGTAAGCTACGGATTCACACAATGCGGTTCCGGACCGGGCGTATATACATCGGTGCTGAGCTACATCAACTGGATCGAGAGCATAATCAAGAAATAGAGAAGGAGTGGAAGAGAGAGTATAGATGGGAAGAAAGAGCTTTCGTCTAGAGGGATATTGAGAGAGGGGGAGGGATAGATAGAATGAGGGAGAGGATGGTTGGGCAATAGAAAATATATACTTTTATGAGCCAGTAGCTGGATTGAGAGGCATATTAACTTATAGACGAGGACGGAATGCGGAATATTGACGTCAGATTTGCAGCTCGGAGATATTTCAATATGCCGATAACAGTTGGCGCCTAGCAGAAAGGCGGGTAGGGGAGGGGTTGCTGGGCACTGGGGACTGAACTGTTTCTAAATATTTGTACATATTTTGCTAATTATGTATCTAACAGTTAATTAGTGTGAGTGCGTGTGTGCATGCCGTTGTGTCTGTGCGTGAGTGTGTGAGCGTGTGTCTGTATGGGTGTGTGTGTGCTTTAGCATGTGTGTGTGAGCTAATAAAAGTCTGAAAAACATGTTTCTATTGAAATAAGCTATTAAAATATTTACACACACTAGAGCGTTTTCCTTATTAATCAAAAGCGAGAAATGTTCCAAGACCTGAGCTGATCTTGGCACGGTTCCAGCGGCAGTTGGAGCTAGTCGATGCTGCTGACTCATCGCTACGGAGCTGAGGGAGATAACAATGAAGAAGAGTTGAATTTACTGTTTGCACTTGCACTTAGTTAGCGTCGCATGCCCTTGAGCCCCAGGGCTGTGGGGCGTGTCCATGAAAGAGGCGAGACGTTAAGCAAATGATTGAACAGACAGCTAAACGGACAGCTTACCAGCCAGACAGTTATATAGACAGCCAGTCAGCTGTTTCACTTTTTTTACATCCCTGTCAGCAGCTGGTTAAACTTGATATTGCAGTTTTAAATACACTAACAAGGGGTATTATGATTTGGTAAAGGAAGTACAAAACGTATAGAAATGGTTGAGAAGAAGAACAATAAAATAAATTAATCAAATTCTAAAACAAACAATATAATATATTTATAAATATTTCCTCTTTTAATTTTTATTCAATATATTATTATAGTATTTACATAATTTAATTTTTAAAATATTTTGACTATATTGTGATACATATTAAGATTGATCAATGAGAACATTTTATATATTTGTATATATGCAATACAATATTAAAATTATAATATCCAGCTTCTGTAAATAATTAAATTTCAATAACAAAAACTCTAAAATCAATCCACTTATTTAAAACTCCAATTCTGCCAGCTGAAATTCAACTTTGAAAGGCAAAGAATCAAAGTCGGTTCTTCTTTGAGAATATGAAAATCATAATCTAAAATATTCAATCATAATAAACATTGTTAGAGCATTTAACCTTCGATATCCACAGTCATCGCTGCTACCATATTCAATATATATATATATATATATATGTGTTTTTCGTCGTAGTTTTGATGTCGTCATTGATTGCCACACTTTGCTTTCACTCATCATTCGCGTGCAGTCCAGGCAGGCAGACCTGGCGTAGACCTGGCTCAACGCGGACTACGGCCGATTTCGAACGTGAGCAGTGATGCAATGCGGGCCAAATGGAGACGAGCTGGGCATGGCCAAGCCGAGCCAAGCCAACTCAATTCAAGCCAAGCCTAATGCTGCCCAAATTCAAATCGATGCCATTCATCAGGCCAAACCGAGTTGGCCAAAAATAGCCGCAAGACAGGGCAAACAATTTGTATGCACAGTTTGGCAGCGGCCGCTGCTGATTCCAACTGTGCCACTGACCAAAATTGGTCACTGGCCAACACTGAATGCTGATGATCATCATCATCATCATTGTGATGATGATAGTGATCGAGTATGCGTCAGCGTAGTGAAAGTGAACTTGACTCTTTGACGGGTTGCTGCGGCGGCTGCTGCTTCGGCTGCTGCTGTTGTTGTTGCTGTTAATGTTAATGTTAATGCTATTTATGCTGATATGTGTGCGATATGTCGCATTAATATTCATGATGATGTTTAACAGTCTGAAGAAGACAGTGAGGCATTAGTGCTACTGTCTCTGTTGCTCTTGCTGCCGTCGCTATTTGCACAGCTCATTACGAAGCGTTGGCGATTTTCGTTAACCTTGAACTAAATAGAGATATATGTATGCATGTTTACATAAATGTTAAGTAAATGTTAGGAAATTGCCAAATGTTTTTGACATTGAAAATTGCAAGAAATTTTGAAGTGTGAAGAAGACATAGACATTGAAATGGTTGTATTACTCGTATTACTCAGGGGCAGTCAGAACTAAATCGGGTACAGCCACGCCCTCTTCTTGCCAAGTAAGTGGTTATTATTTTTTTTAGAGTCACATCTGTCCATTCTGAGCAGCCCAAAGAGAATAATAAGTGAATAGCTGTAACCACAAAAATTGAAAATTGTTTAGAGTACTATGGGGCAATACAGTTCAGCTGCCACGCCCACTCAACTTTGGAAAAATTCCAAATTGTATGCTGTGCAGTAGAAAAGGTCGCCTAATCGAATTTAAAAGTCGAAGCAACCCTCTTGCAGTGGATAATTGAGTTGGGCCAGAGTTTTTGCCGCAGAGGCTTTTGTGTAAAAAGTTTGTTTGTTTGGACAAAATTGGAAAATGAATAGGTAAACTCCATAAAATTAGCCATATGGCCGTAGCTCTACAGGTGCAGAACCGTTTTGCCTCTAAGCCTAGCCAGTGACGTTTTATTAGATGTTTCGTGCCGTTTTTTTATGTGCTCGCCAATTGGATTTCCATTTATGTGCAGCTGAGCAACGAAATGCATAACGATAAAAGTTTATCGATTTGTTAATTTCGCGAGCAGCTCCCGTATCAACAACAATAATATCAACGAAATGCGACAGACGTTGACGCTGCCATTAAATGTCTGTCACAGGACAGGATACGACCATCAAACGCTTTGCATGACAGCCACATATGTATACAAGAGGGGCGGGCACATGGGAAAGTGGGCTGGGTTCAAGGGTAATTCACATGGGCATTTGGTTGAAATTGTTGGGGAAATACAATGAAATTAGAATGCGAAAAAAGAGAAATAAATGTTTATAATATATATATGTATATGTATATGTGGGTATATATTGAGAGTATCGTTTTCATTAGTTAATGGATGTCAGAATTACTGAGAGAATAAAAATAGAATTAGTGGAAAGTGGGAACTGGGAAGAACGAACGACGGGACAGAGAGACAAATATTTGCGTTCTTATCGGAGTAAAAGCATTTTACGTATTGCGTCTTATGTGCCGAACGGGAAGCATAAATAAAGGCTTACCGAGAGTTAGTGTAAACGAAGTTGTTATACACTTGCTGCATAAGAAAGGAAGAAAGGAAATTATTATATTGTGGACTCTTCATAATATTAGCTGGTTTGTTATTTGTATTTTCTTTTTTAATACTTAATGTTTAAGCTAGGTTAACACTTATATTTATATGTATTTATATGGAGTTTATTATATTCTCCAAAAACTCAACCTTTTTCTTAGTATTAGACACCAATCGCTTTTAGACCTTTCACGCATATATATGTATGAACGGATATTCATCTCTGTATCTCAGGCTTTTTAAGCGTTCTCGTATTCACAGTTGTTACTATTTTGGAGCATGACTTAAATGTGATATTAAAATATAAATTTGTAATATGACAACCCTAAAACTGAAGTGTATGTACAAAAGGCACAACTTAATATTGTATAATGGAGAGTATATCGTTCATATCTATATAATATTGAGTTTAATTAAGAAATATATATGTGTGTATGTTTATATTTATACATTTGTTCCCTCGAGTAAATCGATGCTCCTTCTCCAGCGGATATAGTGTATAATCTGTATGCATAAATGTATATATATATGTATATATACAATCCACAGACGGTTGATAATCTGGTCGGTCGTAAACAGTAGTGTAATGGACATATCAGTCAGAGTGAAGAGCTTGAGCTTAGTACACGCATAAAAAAACGCATATATTGATATTTGAGTTACAATTAAACAGTCAATCGAAGTATTATGTGGCGCTATTGCTTGATCTTAACTCTATGGAGTGCCCTGCTGCTATTGTGTGACGGCAGACATCATCATTCTGTGGAGGTACGTAGTTGAAGTCCTTGACAGTCAGTTGCACAATTTGAATGTACACAGATTGAGGCAACTTCGACTGAGGCATTCGCTCATGCGGGACCGGCGGCCATTATGTTTGGCAATCCTCGGCCACTGCTTAGACTCCGATTCAGCCCAAAATGGACGCACAACAACAAGGAGCACGGCAATCGTGACAGAAAACGCAAGCATCACAAGCATCAGAGAACGACTAGAGCCACTACCCGGACTTCTTTCAAGCATCACTAATAATTGCACAAAGTGAATTTTATTTTGCATTAAATGCGACAACCGAAAAGTATGCAATAAATGATGAATCAAGCTGAGTGAGCGGGATATTAAATAGGGAAAGCTGATGGCTTGACAAATATAGGAAAAAATTAAGATTTTTTATGTGTGTTTCATTGAAAAATCTTTGATTACAAATTATTAAATTGATGTGTTTTATATGAACAGCTGTACATCTAAACTGCAGGCCATAGTCAAAGCAGATGGTGTTCATATCAAAAATTTATTATAATTTTAAAAATAATATATTAAGTTCTAATAGTTCATATTATATTTGAAATGAATCTAAAAGTAGAGACTGCAAGCTCTATAAAATGCGTATTATATTCAAAATCAATCTGCATTCGCAATAAATTGTAACGAATTGAATTCAAACTCCTGACTTGATTATTGATTTAGGGCTGAAATCGCAAATTTTGCCTTATTTTTTTTTAATTCTGTAGAAGACTGTGTTAATAACTTCACCTTCATTTCTAACATTTTTAAGAGTTTGCTGCTTAAATGGATTGTACTCCGTACGACTCTCAATAGGCTCAACTGTACACCTCTCTCTCTCTCTCTCTCCCTCTCTCTCTCTCTCCCTCTTTGCGGCTCGTCATGCTGTGCCACGTGTCGCTAACGCAAAATCAACAAACTCCATTGTAGTACATGTATAAACAAGCACAAACATAAAC